CTACTCTACTCTACTCTACTCTACTCTACTCTACTCTACTCTACTCTACTCTAATTCATGAGTTCTACAATAGATCTACAATGGAGCTTCAACACCTCCAAGAGCATTCAAGAACCACAGCCCAAGGCCACAGATCCAGACTTGTAGAATTAGCAGCTGAGAACTATAAAGAATGACCTTTCTTATTTGGGGATCAAAGAGGCTTTCATTCAGTTTACATTTAGATAGAAATGTATTCATTTTTCTGTTGATCAATATTTAGTCAGGACATAATTTTTCTTTATTCCTAAATTCTTTATTTAAAAAATCTAATGTAATTTGCCCCAAACCATGCTATCAAATGCAACTATTGTGTGGCTGTATACCTTAAATGGCTTGCAGAGCTTATATCTGTTCAATAGAAATACATGCCATGTTTCTTTGAAAATATGACTGGGTCTTATTTTCTTTTGACCCCCGAAAAAATGTCTAGGCCTTCTTTTTTTAGGGATGTCTTAATTCCCCCTTCTACGCCTTGCCTGGCTACTGAGCTGCTTCTTTCACAGCTGAAAGGATAGCCCCACATGCCTGTGCCTCGCCTGGCCACCAGACCACTTCTTTCGTGGCTGAAAAAAGCAAGTAACATGACCTACATGCCTCACACACCTTTGCCTACCTGTAAAGGTAACTCCAGCTACTGGTAGCCATCCACCCAAAAAAGCCTGCTGCCATCCACTCTAGCAAGCCTGGCTGTGCATGCACTTAAATAGGGTCAAACTTTGAGGGTAGGGCTTAATTTTAATGCATGCACACAAAACAGTGCTGGGCCTTCTTTTTGGGGTGGGTCGTGTTTAAGGAGAAATACAGTACTAAATTCATATGTGAAAGAGATACGATCTTGGACAGGAATGAACAACCATTAGATGGCTGGGGAACATTTTTGGAAATCCATTGACCATAATGGGTCAATAGACAAAGATGGAATCATCTGGGGTCTTTTGAGGGGCAGGGGAGAAGCTTTTTAAAAAGTTTATTGTCTGAGTTTCCTCTCTCTGTTACTGATTTTCAGCAATAGTGATCAGAGGCAGTCTATAGGTCTATAAAGCATAGCTGAATAGGGCAGGGGTTTCCAACCTTGGCAACTTTAAGACTTGTGGACTTCAACTCCCAGAATTCCTCTGCCAGCTTTGCTGGGAGTTGAAGTTCACAAGTCTTAAAGTTGCCAAGGTTGGAGACCCCTGGAATACGGAATTCTGGGAGTTGAAGGCCACACATCTTAATGTTGTCAAGGTTGAGAAATACTGCTCCAGATAGTTCATCCTTGAACAAAGAACTGGCAAATAATATGCCTGAAAGCCAAGTGAAAAATTCATCAGAATGGAAATTTCAACAATCTGTATCTTCAGAATGTGAGGCCATCTCAGAGACATATTCAGCAAACAGAAATGACTGTGAAAAACTCTTAAAGGAATCCCGTGTTTGCATGCTAATGAAGCCCAAACAGAAAGATAAAAAGAAACGTTTACTTACACATAAAGCACACTTTTCTGGTCTCCAACCTGGCCTCCATCCCCCACAGTTAATGTATCATATCCTCTCTCCAAGTCAAATTCTTCGAAATTGAGTTTGATTACCTATCAAAGACATAAAGCATTAGGTTGGTTGATTCAATTGTTAAGGCAGAATCAGTTCATGCAACAGACACCACAAATAGGCAACATTCTTTCATAGCGACAGGATTTTTAGTCCTGACTGGAAAATTCTCAGGTTCATATCTCTCCAAATCACAACAATAATGTAATAAACTTTGAGCAAACTACATCTGACGGTATGACTCAGTGCATAAAACTGTTCTAAAATTGAACATATGAGAAAATGTGTTATGTAAGAGTTTAGAAAGGTCACGCCAGGAACCAACTCAAATCAACTTCCCAATAGATAGATGCCATACCTGGAATCTAAATCACATTGTTTTCATGGATTTCAGCTGACTCAATATATACAATCCCTTATGCCACCAGGCTCAAACTTTTGGGCTTGGACAACCTGGAACTATGCCGCCTATGGTCTGACCTAAGCATAGTACACAAAATTATCTGCTATAATGTCCTACCAGTCAATGATTATTTCAGCTTCAACTTCAATAATACACAGGCAAACAATAGATACAAACTCAAGGTAAACCGTTCCAAACTTGATTGCAGAAAATACGACTTCAGCAACAGAGCAGTCAATGCCTAGCATGCTCTACTTGGCTCTGTTGTTACATCCTCTAACCCCTTACAGCTTCAACCTTAAACTGTCTACTGTTGATCTCACCCCATTCCTAAGAGGTCCATATAGGGTGTGTGCATAAACGCACCAGTGTGCCTACCGTCCCTGTCCTACTGTCCCCATTTATTTGTACTCATGTCCTTTGCTCATGTCCAGGTTTATACTTATACCTGTTACCTTGTACATGTTCAACAAACTAAATAAATAAAATGAATAAATTTCTGATCCACTAAGGTTTCCCACCAAGCCCATAGAGTAATAACTGAACCTTTGTTCAATCAATCCTTCATTGGAGAAACATACTATCAACAAGAATTTGTTGAAAGATTCCAGTGTTTGGAAACTAATAAATGAAGGTGATTTCAGATGAGAATAGTTTCAATTATAATTTGCTTTGTCCAGCCCATCTATTTCACAAAAAGAGAAGCTGCACAGGATACAAAGCTGGAATGAAGATGCTATCATTTGTCACGTGAACAATCTGATCTAGTACCCTGATACTGTGCATGGAAATAACTGAGAATAGTTCTCCTTAAATAATTTGATAGTGATCTCCAAATTAAATAAGAGTGGAGATGGGAAGGAAGGGTTTAGGATCAATTATGATTATTCATTCATGTTTGGATTCAGTTATTATGCTGGGATTGTAATGGACTCTTTTTCCTATTGAAATAGCAACCAGAGCCTTTGCTTAAACCATTATGATACTGGTAGAAATGACATAATCCGGGATTGGTAAATTTTTGTTTTATTTTCAAAATTGAGTTCTGCATTTCCATGAGGTTTTCTGGATTTTTATGTTTGTCAATGAGCAGTTGAGGTTGAAATGGCGGCTAAGCAGAAGCAAGAATTGAATGCATTTTCTTGGACTTTCACGTTTCATTTCTTTAAACAAATTAACAGATTTGGAAGGGACCTTATAGGTCATCTAGTGCAAACCCTCCACTCAAGCAGGAGACCCTACACCATTTCTGACAAATGGCAGTCCAATCTCTTCTTGAAAGTCTCAAATAATGAAGCCCCCACAACTTCTGAAGGCAACTTCTGTTCCATGGGTTGATTGTTCTCACTGTCAGAAAATTCCTCCTTATTTTTAGGTTGAATCTCTATTATACCTTCCTGTTTCTGACAGCCTTCCACCTGTAGGTTGTTGCACAGATCACTTTTGTCAAACTTGATCTTTTGCAGGCTATTTCTAAAACTGGGCTCTAAGTTGCATTAAATTAAATCTCAGTCGTAATTTAAAATACATATTGTTCCTTTGTTTTATAGCTCATCACTCAGTCAATTGTTATGAATGCGCATGCGACTGAAACATTAAATTAACCTTGGTGTCACAGTGATGTTCTCCTTAATGGTGCCATAAAGAAATGTTGACTTTGTTAACAAATCAATGTGTTAACTAAAGATCCTATCTTTATATTGAAAGAGACATTTTCTAAAGTGGAAGTAAGTAAATGTTGATTTAGAAACCCAGGAAGAATTCTCTTATGGCTTGAAAGAGAAAAATATGACGAATGGAGATGACAAATATTCAGAGCCGATTTCATAACTGTCCTACCACAATTGAATAAGCTTGTTTTGTTGATACACTTTTAATCTGCATAGTCATGTTGAACCGTGACAGTTCTGATCTAATGTTTGAATTGGAAATTGAATAGGCACTGGTACATTTTTTATAATTGAAAAGGGAAAGGGCTGGATGAATTTAAGCCAGCCTTAGAATTAAGTTACAAACATATACATTTCCAGATTAAATTAATAGGCATGGTTAAAGATAATATTAAATAAAACCCTGCTATTTTGAATAAAAACAAATGATATTGATGAAAAAAGACAGCCAACCCCTGATTTCATTTTTTCATTGGTGTATATGAATATTCTTTATTGGCCTAGGGGACCAAAAACAGAATGCAGAAAAGCAAAATAGCATAGACATAAATGAACATTTCTCTAATCCTGAATGGATTGGTTCTGATTGTTTTCCAAAGCTGTGTTTACACAAAGGACAGAGAAGCAGAAATTAAATTTAAGTGAGGGATGGAAGAAGATGGATGAAGATGGATGCTAAAAACATTTGTTCAAGTAAGACAGCACTGAGGCAAAATTAAGAAAACCATAGATTGAGTTTTCCTTTTCCTATTTTATCATTTGTTTTCAGGCACACTTTTTATCAAACAAAGCCAATCTAGATTTAAGCACTAAATCCTAATAAGTTAGCACGTTTGATTGGTTTTCATCTTTTAATGACTGTGGTACAGATACAGGTTTTCTGACATTTAGCAAGCAACTGTAGCTGGTATTTTCAGCACACCTATGCACACCTATGCACACCTGATAACTACACTCCTTGTGTGTCTGCTTGGTGTCTGTGCATTTGTGCCAGTAAGAATTATCAGTGGCCACTATTTCATGTTGAAGCTAAAAATAAAGATAGTGCCCACAGCCACATTGACATTCAATGCTCAGATAAACTGATACTGTGAACAATAGCTGAAATAAATCTGTCACAATATTTTCATTATTTGATTCCTCCAAAAAATGTCTCTAATCAGAAGGATTCACCTTTGTCAAGTACCAACTTGGACTAAAAATATTTTTTTAAGTTTTTTATTGTTTTTATTAAAGAGAAACACAAAAGAAAAAAATCATCTTTCATTACATCTTGTAGAAAACGTATCCATTGGTTACAGGTATATTCCGTGCGTTATGGACTAAAAATATTAAAATCCACATAATGATGAAATAATGCAATTAATACAAAGAACAAAGGGTTGTCAAGTGACATGCTTCATTAATTAAAGCACCCATTCATGTAAATTGCATTTTAACAAGTTTGACCCTAATTAAATAGCTGCTTAGATTTTAATACCATGGAACATAACAAGGTTTGGGAGTCTAAGAATTATTTATGTATTTCTCCTGCCCTCTTTCCTCCCTCCTCTGCTGTCTTCTTTGCCCTAGTTTTGTTTTTACTTTTAGTTAAAGGTTGAAAATTATTTAATGACTTTATATTACAAGAAACCTCCTGGCCAAAGGGATGACGAAAAGCTTGTTTTTTAAAAGTCACGGAGCCCTATTACACGGAAATAGGAAATTGCCATAAGGTTTTAAATGGAACAACCTATTAATCTATGGCAGGCTTTTAAACATTAATTTGAATATTGCAATACTATTTCATATTTATTTATTATTTATTTATTTTTGGGAATGGTGCGATGGCTCAGTTGTTAAAGATGCTGAGCTTGTCGACTGGAAAGATAACAGGCTGGAGCACTGCACTATTCCTCTACTACCTCCTGCCCCCCTAGCAGTTTCAACTGACAAACACTAGAAAGAAAGGTTAAGAAAGAAGATGGACAACAGAAATGGAGAAGAAAAATCAAAGGAAACCACAGCTAGATCTCTTCACCCTTAAACGGTCCCACCCTCAAGAAATTCATCTGAATGAGCAAGACAGAAAAATGATAACTGTACAGGTAATCCTTGGATTACAACCATTTATTTTAACAACTGTTTGAACTGTTACAATGGCCCTGAGAAAAGATTGGAAGTTTTTAAGAAGAGATTGGACAACCATTTGTCTGAAATAATATAGAGTTTCCTAAGCATGGGGGTTGGGTTAGAAGACCTCCAAGGTCCTTTTCAACTCTGTTATTTGATTTCTATTCTATTCTATTCCAGTTCAAAAGAATGTGAGTAAATAAATAGGCACCACTTAATGGGAAGGTGACAGCATTCCGTGTGTATGTGATGCTGGCCAGATGACAACAGAAAATGAAAATGAGCACCACACTGTAGAGTTGGACATGACTGGACAGGGGAAATTGTACATTTTTTTAAAATGGTGTACATTCAAGTCACTAAGTTGATTCTTGTGACTGCTTGAACAAATCCCTGCACTTTTGGGGGGGGGGGTAAGATTTCAGAAGTGGTTTTCCTGTTACTTAGGGCTGAGAGATTGTGACTTGGTTTGTTCCAAAGATGAGAATATCTCTCAATTTCTAACCTGCTGCCTTAACCAGTACATTAGACCAGCTTTCTACACTGCAATATATAATATTATGCCTTTGAATATTCAGTTCGTGTACAGCTGATTGTCTAGTTATTGACAAGCAGCTTTCATTTATATGATTGCATCAGTGGTGAGATTCAAAAAAAAAATACTACTGGGCCTGTGGGTGTGGCTTGGTGAGCATGGCTTTGTGGGCGTGGCAGGGAAAGGATACTGCAAAATCCCTATTTCCTCCCAATCAGGTGGGACTTGGGAGGCAGAGAATAGATGGGGGCAGGGCCAGTCAAAGGTGGTATTTATCAGTTCTCCGAACTACTCAAAAGTTCCACTGAATGCCATCTCTGG